GGATTTTAAATCTTCGAGTTCATCCTCCCCCGCGAAACAGTGTTGGATCCTCATATGCCAAAGTCAAAATTAATTTGAATTTATTTAAGACATGTTTGTCGCACTGAACAGAGGATCGACTGAAAGTGACTGAGTGGTGAGGCTGAACGATACTTGATATGAGGTGGTCGAAGTTTGATTCTTCTGAAATATTGTGACCAAATTTATGGAGAACCTCACTAGTAGATAGTGGATCACTATGATAATCAGCGTTCAACAAAACTGCACCAGGTTCTTGATTATTATTTGATGCATATGACATATTTTCTGGCAGAACGAGGGGATCTTTTGTGAACTGGATACGTCACTGTCTGTACACGCCGTCTCGGGGATATTGGAGTTTGAATCCATGACAGGGCATGTTAGTGGAATGGAGAGTACTGGACCACCGGGCGGATCTTGAATGACTGCTTCGCCTACATTACTGCTCGTAAAGGATTCATAGAGGCTTTTATAAACATCTTCATATGTTCTGCAGTTATTTTCCAGCTCGGTATGCAGATGAAAAATTAACTTATCAACTTCTGTCGCATCTCCGAAACATGGATGGTTTAGCAGCCGCGTGCGTCCCAAATATTCAACTGGCTATTTTTGGAGGGTTACAGCGGGATCGCCACTGGCTTCTATTCCGAGCCATATCTGATAACGTCTCTAGCCAACCAAGAAGTTGTGAAGGGCCAATAGAAACCAGTCCTGTACGGCTTTCTTTCACACACTGACACCTCTCCACTTTTTCCAACCAGTCTCGGAGTCGGCAAATAATGCACGACGTGGGATTCTCTGGGACGACGTTCGTAGAACATGTCCAAGACACCGAATTCGATGTTTCAAGATGGTGACAACAATTGAATTATCGTCTCTGCGTCCGAACACACGATGCCGAACCTCTGCATTACTGACATGGTGTTGCCACTGGATGTCAGCAAATCTTCGGAGACAACGATGATCGAACACAAAGAGACGTCTAACATCCTCAACTCGAAAATGCCAGATTTCACAAGCATAGAGTAAAACTGCTCTCATCGACTCGTTGTAGATCCGACCTTTTACAGCCAGACTAACGTCACGAAGACGCCGAAGATGGCCCAGATTGGCATAAGCCGCTCTGGCTTTCACTATACGTGCATTGATCTCACCACTCAAGCCACGACTAGCACTTATGCAGCTACCCAGATACACGAACTTCTCGACTACTTCTATCTGCTCACCATCCAGGGTGAGTACAGGATTAGAATCTTACCAGTCTTGTAGAAGTACTTTGCACTTCAAAGGTGCAAAGCACATACTTTATCTACGGACACTGATTAAGTGCGGATTGCATAGCTTGGGCATTATCGCACGGTAAGACAATATCATCCGCATAATCAAGGTCGGGAAGTCTTTTTCCAGGCAACAGATCCACACCGCCATTACTTACATCCATCAGAGCTGTTTCCAGAATGTCATCAATGGCAAAGTTGAAGAGGAATGGTGAGACTGGGCAACCCTGTCTAACCCCACTACTTGAATGGAACAATGGAGAGGGGTGGTTGCATGCCCTCACTCTGCCTGAGGTGTTTGTATATAGGGCATTTAGGATGTTAATAAACTTCTCAGGCACACTCTTCTTCAATAGACAATCCCAGAGAATAGTCCTATCCAACGAATCGAAGGCAGCCCTAATGTCAAGAAACACTACGATTGTTGGCCTGTGATAAATATGACGGTGTTCTGACATTTGGCGGAGGGTGAAGATATGATCAATACATCCTCCACCAGAACGAAAACCAGCCTGCTCCTCACGAGTCAATCTTTCTCGGGTTTTGAACAACTTACGAAGTATGACGGAAGCCAATAGTTTGGACGCAATCGGAAGTAGACTTATCCCCCGATAGTTGTTACAGGAACGACGTGAACCCTTTTTAAAGATAGGGACAACTATCGACTCATTCCATGACGTTGGTACACTCTCTAGTTCCCAAACCTTTGTAAACAACGTCGTCAATTCCTTAGTCAAAAAGTCACCACCATCTTTCAAAAGAGCAGGAAGTAAGTTATCTGGGCCCGGTGATTTGTAGCGGTCTAAGAGTTGGAGTTCCTTGAGGACTTCCGCCTCATTTGGTGGATCAGTCGTCACCGGCCATGGAGGGCAGGACAGTCCGACCGATGTTGCCGGAGCAGCAGGCCAGTTGAACTGCCCTTCGAAAAATTCTGCCCATCGTCCAAGACGTCAATGGATGTCAGTGGTTGGCATTCCATCATCCTCGCAGATTGTTTCGCCCACACCAGATTTCTTGCTGCCAGTGGCCCGGATGAGTTGGAGAGAGCTTCCGGTAGTTACCAGATGCAGCTGCTGCTTTCAGCTCATTAGCACGCTCTGACCACCGGGCTTCTCGTTCCTTACGCAAGCTTTGCCCGACTTCATTACGTAACATCCTTCGTTTGTGGTCAAACTCACGGTCACCCGGAGTAGATCGATGGGTCTCAATGAATCGTAAGGAACCTGAAGAAACCCAGTGCTTATAAGTAGGACGTTCCGCGAAGCAGCAAGCGGCTTTAGTCGCCATTTTGATGGCGTCATGAAGTTGCAGCCAATGCTCATCTATACTTTTCGGTGGAATGGTAGCTAGCCTAGAAAGTAGCTCGGTTCGATACTTACTTGCAACAGAAGTTGCAACCAGCTTGCTAACATCAATCCGTTGGTGGCGGTCACTTTGTTGGCCACTGAAAAGTAAGGTAAGATTGGCGCAGACCAGAGTCCAGATAGGTACTCCAACAGAAGCGGCAGTCTTGTACACCGAAGCAGGTGGTTTTCTTGGGGGGCCACACCCCGAGCCTTTGACCTAAAGGTCTAACCCACAAGGCAGTGGGGCATCGTGAGGAGATGCAGTCCCATGGAAGCCGGCGACCAACAATTGGTTCATACGCCATTTGTTCCTTCAGGATACTGGAGCCCATGTGCACCATTGGTTTGGAATCCGGTTAAAGCGCCAGACATTCGCTTTTCGTCCTCTCATTTTCATAAACAACACCCCCGCCACGAGAAGGCAGTGAGTAGGACTTCCCTGACAGAGGCTATATATGCGTGGCCATGTGAGAGCATTTCGAGAGGGAGAGCGGACTCTCCCCACTCTCGGCCATACCGAGGCATTTGGGGGCGTTGGTCGTAATCAGAAAATCATTTCATTTGTAACTAATTTATTTCTTATTGTACAGTACTAGTAGTCTATAAGTTAAAACAATCAGTTTGCAATCAACAGGTGATCATTGTATCAAATCCTAATACTAACTACTTTGATTCGAGGAATCCGGTACAATGTGTTATTAATCATCATACACAAACAGTGTGCTTCATATTTGTTATGATTTTAGATGCTAATCGATATCACATGCTAAAGTCACCAATTAGAATTCCGATTTCAATTTTTTTTCTATTGTCGCGTCTACTATTTCTTCTATAGCCCAGTATCCTAGACCAATTACACATCTGAACTGTACTACTAATCTTGAGACGACGCAAAACAAGCTCCTATAGGTCAGCTATTCGAGTCTTTCTATATCGCCTCCCTTGAGTTCAAAGAGAAATGAAGAAGCAGTTTCTATTATATATTTCAAGCGGATGTGAATTTATATACAAATATACTGGACAGCACCACACCCTAAATCGAAAAAATAGTAATTATACGTAGAGAATAAGGTAAGTTGTAAGTAATTGATTGGGTGTGAATTACGAATAGTAAGTAGTATGATAAAAGTTAGCGAGTCTAACGAAAGCTTACGATAAATGGAAAACGAAAAAAAGTAACTCAGTTACTAAGTAACTAAGCGACAAGAATATAAATAGTAATATATTTGTATCTTTTTTATCAATGTGGAATTCATTCTTCAAATATAAGAGTTTGAGGAGAGCTTTAAATACACATATTGAACAAATGAAGCTATTAGTATAATAATTTTTCGGAAATCACCCAATTTTCTGTTTATATTACGACACTGAGCAGTCTAGAGAGTTGACTAAAAGCAACTATCGGAATTCAACTTAGTAACACTGAAGGGTAGCATGATTGTTGTGAGTGTTGAAGGTTTTCGTCTCTAAATTTAGCCAGGTCACCGGTTGTGCACTGTTGATAAGTTCCGTACTAAGGTGAAACATATACCCACTGTTTCATGGTTTTTAATGGTTGTCTAGACTAGAATCAAATCATAATAGGAACTGGAAAATTAAGTACTTTTTTTGTTTACAAGTAGTACTAACCATTAATTAAAAACCCAATGTCAAATAAGTTCAGTGCTATTTACTCTAAATCTAATTTTCCAGATGGATTTAATTTTAATATTAGTCATAAGCAAGGTAAAACCTGGTACATACACGTATTGATTTAGCCTAACACACTAAATAAGCATAGCGAGATGAAATTACCAAGATAAGCATTAGAGAAAAAGGAGTAGTAAAAGTACCAATAACAGTAGGAAATATCAAGAAAAGACAATTTAATTCGAGAAGAATGAATTTATAGAATAAACGTATAGGACAATTTTAAAACTGAATATCAAGGGGAAAGCAAATAGTGAATGAATCTGCGTCATTGCAACCGATTGAGATATGTCATTCAACGTAAGCAGCCATTGATTATGTTAATTCCATGGATCACAAACAAGTAGTCTGCACCGACCAACAGGGCTCAGACGAACGCTAATCGACTTCATGGACTGACATTATGTCTTTGTATCAGCGTACTTCCACGTGAGCAAGCATCAAGAGTTGAAGTGGATGGTATTTGGACATGTGTAGCTATTTCTGTCGATAAAGATTCATAACCTCACTAACTGGTAAGCCATCTTAACATAATACCCTGCATTTAATCAGACTTGAGTTCATTTTAATAGATAAGAGATTATAAATTTTCTATGTATATTAATCAAGTCTTACTTTCAATGAATGAAAGTTTTTTTTAGCCAAGAGAAAAGAATAAAACAAGTTGTTTTTACTATTAAAAACATTTATTTAAACTATCAACTATGTACATTTTTTACAATGATTGACATATCAGATGATGACTGTAAATCAGAAGGTAGAATAGTCGGTGTTAATTCATTCCAAGGTTTTATCAAGGTATTACCATTATTATTACCACTTAGTAAAGATGATGTAGACGAAGAGTTAGACCGAAACTCACCAAAATAACGTACACCTAATTGTTGAGAATGTCGCCCTTCATTTACTACAGATATCGGGAGTGTCGATGATAGTGATTGAATATATTTTAAGAAATAACCATTATATAAATCAATAGCTGTTAAATGTCGACTCTTCGTTGATGAATTAGGCCAATTCACTAAAAAGCTTTTAACAGCTAACCATGATACAGAATTAATCTGGGTTATAATAGGTGAAGAATTGTTTGGCTTACAAGCAATGAAAGTGTATGGTATTAAATGATGTTTCACATCTTTCTGTGAACGTAAATATACAATACTTCCAGGTGGTAATGATGATGTATGTGGTTGATGCAGAAGAATTGAAGCCTCGTTGAGATAGTCCATAACCTATGGAAAATAACATAAGTAATAATAAAAAAGCCTATTTAAATTAGATATCCTTTATATTACCAACTGTGACCAGTAGAGTTCAACCATGTCAGGAGTAACACTATTTACTAGCCATCAATGTGATAGGACTTTGTTATTCGCGCAATGTTGAGTTAACTGAAGCTAGAAGTGGACCGGATATTAAATCAGTGGTCTGAAGGTCTTAGATTCGATAATTGGGGTGATCATGGATAGACACTGTTGGTAAGTTCTAGTCCTAGGACTGTCCGCTGATTTCTGGTTTCCAGAGGTTATCTATCCATAGTCAGACCGTGATGTAAATTATAAAATAACACAAATTGTTGTTGTCATGAAACTTAAAAGTTTGATTCTTTTACGAGTCGTGCGTCGGCACTGTTGGAGTGTTGCAAATAAAGACGAAACCATTATCCACAACTTCTTGATTTTCAATAATATTATATAGTTGATGCCAACTCATAGTAAATCATCAAATTAAGTAATAATTGTTTAATTATTAGTACATTACATATGCAATTTCATAATACTATAAAGAAAACAATATTCTCCGTAGATCAAGAAATTCTATTTAACTAAGCTTATTCAACCAAATTTTCTGTAAATTTCCATTAGTTAGTAATGCTCAAACACCTTGAAATTACTTGAGTTAAATAAGAACTTTTGTCTAAATGTGATCGAATAGTTTCACAGTATTTGGGTCTCGGGTTGATGTGAGACATTAAAGAGAAACAATGTATTTGTAAAATCTCAGTGAATGAATTTGAAGTCAATCCAACGTTTCACCTAGCAATCTGGTCCAAGCTTTTTCAAGGAAATAAAACCAAACATCAAAATTATCGAATATAAATAGGTACATGGTTCTCCGGTTCACTGTATACTGAATAGGTCATCCAATCAACGTTAACAATGTTTAAAGTAGGTATTTCATTATTGTGTAAGAGACATTGATTGAATGACCTATTCAGTATACAGTGAACCGGAGAACCATGTACCTATTTATATTCGATAATTTTGATGTTTAGTTATATTTTCTTGAAAAAGTTTGGACCAGATTGCTAGGTGAAACGTTGGATTGACTTCAAATTCATTCACTGAGATTTTACAAATACATTCTTTCTCTTTAACGTCTTAAATTATATGGTACATATTAATTATTGAGTATCAAAATCATTCATGAACAATGAAATAACAAAAATTATATATTCACGTAAAATGATTTAAAAGAGGATAGATTGACAATTGTTTGAGTAATATTTTCAGTTATAACCTTAAGGGAAACTTTATTAGTAGTTCAGAGTTCAAGTAAAAGTTTGTGTACATTGGCTTATAGACTTGACTTTGACTAACTGGTTGAAAATTAAATGACTTATCGACTAAACTACTGGTATACAAATCAAATAACAGTTAGTGTATTGTGTTTTTTTTTTTTAATTAACAATTTACATCAGTCTCATAGAAATTTTTAAGTAGTATGTCAAATCTACGTATTTTCATGTCAATTAATGTGTGACTATTGGAAGTAAGATTTAATTGGCTACTGAGCACGAACAGACAGACAAAACTTACTAACTATTTAATATCGAATTTTCTTTTTACCATTGATTTATACTCTAGATTCACTGAGTGTAAACTGCTGGTAATTGTGCTAAGTAAAGTATTGTCTAGCCTATCTTCTGATTCTAAAGATTTGGTCGTGAATATTTTGTCTGGTATAATGTGTTCCACTTTGTGTATATCATATCAGTCGATCGCGTATCCAGTCTAGCGGCAATATAATACCAATTCCCAGTCATATTGTCGTATAACAGTAGTACAACTTGGTAAACAGAAACTAATTTTATTCCTCCGTTACACCATCAAGACTATCCATCACCTAAGAATAATCATAATAACTTGGAAATTGATTGAATTTGGAAATAAGGTTTATTGGATACTGTATCGTGATGTTTATTGATTTACGTGTAAATATCGTGACCTAATTTTAATTTGTTGAATTTATATACCTTAATTATTTACCAAGTACAGGTTTGTTCTAACTGAATAACTGAAACGAAGTAGGTTTTAGGGGCTTCGAATCTGAGACTTAATGGTTGAAAGTCAAGCATATTAGCCATTCACTCTGTTGCAAGATTTGGAGGTGCTAGGTTCAATTTGACTGGTGAGGTAGTGAGGGCGCACTGTTAAGTAGTTTCAAGCTAGAAGGAAACAACTGTCTAATGTTTACTGGTTTTCATCAGTCTTCTCCAACTAACGTCAGTCCGCAGCTAAAATGAATTTAAAAATAAATATTATAATACCACAAACTTTGGACTCATAATTTGGACAGTATATATCGGCAGCTTCAGCATTATTCTGTCCATTGTTATTGTTAGAAACATGATCAACGTGTGGTACCAACAATGGACATTCGGATAGACGAAAATTTGCAATTAAGGAATTATTCTCTTTCTCTTCTTGTACAGTGTTCAATAAACAAAGCTCCGTAAATAAATTTACACAAGTGCCTTGAAATGCATGCCAATATCGAATTATATCTTCAGCTGATTGTTCCTGCCAATTTATCAAACCCATGTGGGGTTGAGGTTTACGAGCATACGTTATTGGAAGTTGAAATTTCGCTGAAATCACCGATTGATCAACACCAACTAAATATGGTAAGTTAGGATATAAAATGACCTATAAAACCAATAATATAAATATCGTAATGATGATACTAGGATAGATGACGTATGATGTGACAAGTGTTTTACATTGACTTCATCCACTGCTTATTTTTTGTATGTTGCTACCGTACACTACTTAAAAATAACCAATAGTTTGAGTATTTTATATAATTTTCACGACTTGTGTGCAATAAATCCATAGTTGGATTGTCGCAGTGAGCCACTTTTCTCATTCATTTATGATTTTATTTCAATGTCTTAACTTACATTTTTATTGGTAGTAGCATTTTATAACCCCCTTCCTTCTTTTAACCTCTCTCATATGTGTCACTAAAATCTTGTTTATTTTGAAAGGCTTGTTTAATCTCTAGAATGCTTAATTTATTTTCGTTAATCGTTGATATTACTGCTGGAAACAGCTGTGTGCTTTTTTGTTAATTAATAGCAAACCTCTTGATTTAATTCTTACTTATTTATTTGGAGTACATATCTCTTCTTCGACTGAGCTTTCGAATATAAGCTTAACTTTTGGCGATCCTATATTCTTTGATAAGGAAGTTCTAATGTGGTGGTTGGATGTAGTCAACAAGAAACCCTGGACATAGGTCTCATGCTACCTGGCACTCGTTAGCAATGTGTACCTATAGTCTTGAAGGGATTGATGCCCCCTGGCGGATTCGATCCCATGTCAACCAGTTTCACAGTTAGAGATGTTACTACTGAGCTGACCGGACCGCGACTGATCTCCTGTAGGACTGATATATTTACAATTGATTGATCACTGGATGGTGATCAATGTCATGTGTGTCAGGTCCGTAATAGAGCATCAGTTCACCACCCAGTGATCAATCAATTGTAAAGATATAATGTTTATGCTCGGAAAGAGAGGAAGGTAGACAACCAAACTATCTAGCATATAGAGCATGATGGTTCTAAAACTCGTCTTCTGGGCTACAACCTCTACCATTTCAGTAAGTCACACTATTTCCGGTTGCTCCAAAAATTGTTACTAATTGACCATCAATAAGAAGGTACACTTATGTAAGTGCTTTCTGTTCTACTGATGAACTTTTGAAAAAAAAACTTTACTGAGTGACGTATTGTCCACAATCTTTAGGACTATCTTGTCGTTAAGCCTGAGTATTCTTTGACTTTAAATGCACTACAGTACAGACTTAGCTGAAAACTTGACTGTAATCATGTCGGTTAAGTGCTCGCTATGGGACCAGTAGGTCTTCGGTTTAATCATCCGTGGGACAGTGGATACACGCTGCTGAGTCCCATAACAGAATGAAACAGATATCCAATGCTCTATAGTTCTCAATGCTTGAACAGCTAAAGTCAGACGACATAAAAGTACAAAATTAAACCATTCAGTTTGTTGTTTGAAAACATTGAATAAGTCATAAAGGTTAGTACGACTCAAAATATGTTATACAATTTCATGACACTGGTTAGACGAAAATCTATCCTGTTGGAAATGTGGAACATAGGTAGTCAGAGTGACGTCTAACAATTCATAATCTCGACTGGAATATAACAGCATAAATATAAAGACAATTAGTTAAAATGTTCGATTGTAAAGTATGAAACCGAATCCAACTAGATCTTACCTCAAACATAGCATTAATGCTGTGTGGCATTAAATATGTAGCTAATTGATTCGGTGTTAACATTGTATTCTTATTACAAGGTAGGCGAATGGACTTTTGATACAAAACAGATCCAGAGTCGAAAGTTGTATGCATCGGATTCAATCGGAATAACGTAATCCCAGTAACTTTATCATCAGCTAATAAAGTATATAATAATGGGTTAGAACCTTTCCATCTTGGTAATAATGATGGATGTATATTAAAGCATCCATAATTGAATAAAGACAATAGTGATGAGGGTAGAAACCGGCCAAATGAAACAATTACGCCTAACAATTTCTCTGGCTTATCCAAGGAATTAATACTTTTCAATTTATCTATTCGTTGACTAACAGCGTTGATGATTATTGAATTATTCGTAAGCGTGCGTGGCCAAATCACGTGATCTTTTCATGGAAATCAGAAGATGGGTTCGAAAAAAGAAAGGATTACATGGATTTATTGTAATTTTGATTTATTACTTTCAACTTAAAATTAACGTCGCGTACCTTCCAAGAACTTTCTTTTGAAAAAAGGAATCACATCAATTAAAGCCAATTTTCAGCACGGGTATACATCAGGGATAACTGAGAATCTGTTTTATCCTCGTTTGAGACTCTTTAGTGTGGTGAGAAATCGCAGCCTCACCTAGGATTAAATACAGGACTTTCGGATTCTTCAGTGTGTGTCAACCCGTAGGGTAATGGTTAGGGTATTAAACTTTGGACCACTACATTGGAGCTTCGAATCCCACTTCATTTACTTTAGTTTGGACAACCGGGTAGAATAAATCATTTTTTATTCTTATTAACTCATTCGCCAAGTGCTGAAGTACGAACCACATTTTAAATACGAGGGGTAATGATACTAATCGGTCACCTAAAACTAGGTAGGTAGAATGGGGTTCAAACCAAGGGCTTAGTGGCTAAAGGTTGAAAGCCTGAGCGATTAGCTCTCGCACTTTAAGTGTAGCTTAAGGTTGAGCACATGGATCTGTATGTGGTAAACGGGTTAGATCATGATTACCAATCCATCCTGACAACTAAATTTAAACTAAACAATCATAATATACACTTCTACCTCAGTAATATTATTTAAGCCATGTGAAGAAATTAAAACGGTTAGTAACTCTAGCAGTGTATATGAATATGCATTGCTTATAATTCTTACTGATTGTATGTCATTATTTCAACAAAATTTCATTTCATTACTCTTCGTGAGTTAACGAAAAGTTATAGTGAATAGAAATGTCATAGATCTATGGTATTACTGTTTATTATGTTCAAATGACAGTGAGTAACGTTTTAATTATACAAGACTTGAATAGAACTATGATGGTATATTATAACAAACCTTATGGTTAAGATAAAATAAATAGTCTAAAATTTCTAAAGGTACATGGTTTAACATTGTGTTGAAAATGGATGGCTTGAATATAACATCTCCATCATTGACACTAGGTCACAGAGAAACACTCCACGGAGAGTATTCGTCCGGAGATACACTAGTAGGAACAAGTTTCAACTGATGAAAACACTAGGCTCAGGGATTGATATCAAGTGCCTTCAGTTACCAACCTAATATGAAACTTGAGTTTTATGGGAAACCAATCATTAATGAACGTAAGCTTCATGAATAATGACTAATTGTAGGTTCGAATTGCACTACTACTTCAATTTAGGTAGATATGCAATATAATCACTAGCCTTCATACAAATAGTCAAGTTTAATACCTAGTAGATAAACCTGTACCTGGCAAATGGGTTAAATAGAAAGTAAAAATTTTTTATCACAAAACATTATTTCAAAATAATATCAATAAAACTGTTTGGTACTGGTTTCATTTTAAACCATGGAAAAAGCTTTGTGTGGTATACACACCTATTTTATTCTGAATACAATGATACCTAACAGGAGTTTTATCCGAGGTAGTAACCACAAACAATAATCGAATATCTTTATGCTGAGACTGACGCTCTTCCAAGGCGTGTAAATGAGGTAATGAATAATGATCGCTCCCAAAAAACACCACGCTGATAATTGAACGTGTGAAGATAGGGAACTGTGATGGACATGTAAACGGTAATTTAAATAAATAACTCGAATTCATGTTATCCTTTAGCAAATATGTGAGTCATCTGTAATAAAAAAGATATGAAATGTAAGTGTAAAAACTTTTATAAAGCTATTCGTGCAGAAAAACCCCACGAGGAAAGATTTGTATGCATACTTTAATACGTACTTGATGGACTTTGTCGTGGTTACATAATTATGTTTTATGTCGTTAAGAAAATTTTATTCGCTGAATTCCCTTTATTTTTATTCAATGACACAATGGGTTATTTTCATATCTACAATAGTAAGTGTAAAATAACGAGCCAGTGGCCTGGAAGCTCGATTCTTAATCTTTGGATCAGGTCTAAACTCACCTTAACCATACTAATTTAACTAACAGGGTAGTATGGTTAATGCATGTTTACTTGGTATACAGAACTTCGTAGAGTTAACGAGTAGCAATTAGTTACCTTATTACTGGATAAGTACGTTAGATTTTGCGGCGAGAAACAAAAGTAATAGTAAAAAAAAACACCACAACTCTAAACAGCAGTTTCCTTAACTGGAAGATTAGTGTGCTTTTGATTCGACAAACGGCTACTAGTTTTAAAGTTTCATGTTTGTTATGAAAAATGTATGATTGTTGGAGTTAAATTCATTCAAATACTGCGAAATATACTTGTAATTTGAGTAGGAAATACACGAACAAATAATGACAGGGAATCTAACGCAAATAAGTATCTACCTATTTTGAAATACTTTGTGTCAACACGAGGGAAAACTTACAATTTAATGACAGTAAAAGTGACAAAAAAGATACAAAGAAAACTGAATGATGTTTATAGAATAGTATGTCCCAGATATAAGAGTTGGTAAATAATGAATGCACTTGTACTATAGAGACTGATTTTAATGCATGTCAACTAAAGCTCTTGAACTTATATCATGATTATTCTTGTGAATACTCTAACAACGAAACTAGAATCTCTCTATGCAATTCGGAATAACATTCTATGACTTTATGGACTGATGCCAAGTATTCATTTGAGTGTTCTTAGCTTTTATTAATCTACTCATATGATAACCGTTATACCAGATGACCATATGGGCCCACTTATCTCACGTTATGATCACCTCATATTAATAAAATCATCATTTTCACTTAGCACTCTACACCTAACACTAATATTGTATACTCAACTATGATCCAATAATAGAAGCTGATGTTTATATTCGATCCTAGAACTTGATGATTCACAGATCAACATACTTGTCGTTTTTAGGCAGACGGGTATTTAACTTTTGCAATAGGTGGGATAAGCTGAGTATTTATGTAGTCATATTAACTCTTCCATAGAGTAATTTACCATCATATATAGTACATAATTGCCCCCAAATGCCTTGATACGGCCGAGAGTGCGGACAGTCAACTCCCTCTCGAAATGCTCTCACATGGCTACGTGTATACAACCACTACCAAGGAAGTCCTACTCACCGACTTCTCGCAGTGGGTGTTGTTTACGAAAATGAGAGGATGACAAGCGAATGTCCTGGGCTTTAACCGGGTCGGTGAACACGGAGGGTATTTTGTCTAGATCCTCACACAGATAACAAACGAATCGTAGCTTCCTGGAAAAGTTACAATTACATGCGTGGATATTGGGAAAACATAGTTGAAAGGTTAGAAAACCTCTGTTAGCTGGCCACTGCAGGAACGAAGAGGAAGCATTCACGGAAATTACTTAGTACGCGAAGTCTAATTATAAAGTCTTTACAAAGCTGTGCTGTCGTAAGACCTTGAGAATTTTACCCGTTCAACCAATTAGAAGACAGAAAGATAATATGATAAGTGGGTCAATAAAATGGAGCTTATAGTCCTTGGATTATATCTAAAGTCAATTGGTGATGAAAACCCAGAACATAGAAATAATATTAATTTTTCGCATTAGCTAATATCCCAATTATGGAATATAGACCGTGATCTTGAGATGATTTGCATATCTGAAATGAACTTAGTGATAAAGCCCATCTCAACCAAAGTCTTTCCTCGATTGGTTTGGCTTACGCTCCAAAAAATATCAGTTTTCACAACTTTTCGAAGCAGAGAAATAAAATTATACTGGGTTGAACATGGTACCTGATAAGTCTCAGCAATTTACATATTCATTTGATGAGACTATATATGCGGACAAAATAATCAGATTTAGGATAGCAAATTGTAATCTTGTCATACAATCTTATGAACTGAAGCATCAACTGAATAAATAGAGGGATTGCATAGAAAACAGGAAGTATATGAAGACGTTTGATATGTTTATATATACCATAACAGAATGGAGGTTATCTATTTATTATTTTATTTTCTAATGCAATCGTCTAACATGACAACCAGTCAAAGCCCACGACCTTGAGTGAGTCAGAGTTTACGCTGCAAAGGGCATTGTGATGTTCAAATGGTTCAAATGGTCCAAATGGTTGTGGACGGAATAGAAGAAGCTTTCGCTTAACAGGCTTCCGTGTCTAGTAGCAGGGGATCACCAAATCCTCCAGGCAGGAACCTAGGTATGTTAACAATAAGAGAGGAAAAGAAATTGGTAAATCATAGTGTGATGCTGTCCTTGGTCCTTAAGAATAGGTCAAGTTGCCTCTTGAAGGACTCCTGAGAAGTCGCTTGGACTAGCTCGGCCGGCAGCGAATTCCAGCTTTTGACAACTCTTAAGGAGTAGAAGTTGTGTCTACATTCCGTCTTGCTATGTTGTGTTTCCAGTTTCTGGGTGTTACCCCTTAGGTTATTATTCGAACTAAGCTTAAGTAGGTGTTTGAGAGGATGTCCAGAAGTGTTAAGGATGCTATAAGCCATCAGAAGATCAACTCTAAGACGCCTATACTCTAATGGGTAGAGGTCTAGTGAACGGAGGCGTTCTTCGTAAGGTTTAGATTTGAGTCCTCGAACTGATTTCGTGGCTCGCAGTAGGATACGCTCCAAAGTGACCTTGTCCTTTTGGAATGAGGGGGGAGTACTATGTTTCTGTACTCTAAATGGGGACGGATGAAACTATTGAAGATTGTATGGAAAGTTTGTCCGTCAAACTGTCCAAAAATTCGCTTCATCGTTACCAGTGCAAGGTTTGCTCGGAAAGCATTTTTGTCACAGTTAGCGTAAGACTTTAAATCATGGGGTATCAGGACTTCTTAATCTTTTTCGACTTGGGATACTACTAGAGAGGAGTTTCCTAAGTTGTAACTGTAGTTTGCGACATGTCGCAGATGGACTACTTTACACTTTGAAGTGTTAAAGGTAAGTCCGTTATCGTCTGCCCAACTTTGAAGCCGAGTCAGATCCTCCTGAAGGGTCTGTATATCGTCTTGGTTGCGTATCTCTCTCCAAAGTTTCGCGTCGTCGTCAAAAAGTAATAATTCTGACGTTACCTGTTGAGGAAGATCATTTATGTAGATCAAGAAGAGAATAGGCCCTAGTACTGAGCCCTGGGGGACCCCACTAGGACATTCCATAGCCTGAGATAAAGTGAAATTAACCCTAACTTTAAAGTGTCGATTTTTTAAGTATGAAGTAAGCCAATCGATTAGGGGTGGTTTGAAACCTAGTCGTTTGAGCTTATTGATAAGACACAAGTGGTTAACCTTATCAAAAGCTTTTAAGAAATCAAGGTAAATGATATCAACCTTTCCCTTGCGATCGAGGATGCTTGTCCATCTGTCCACCGCTGTCAGCAGGTTGGTTATACAAGAGTAACCCTTCCTGAAACCATGCTGTTGGGGTGAGAAGAAATTTAAGGACAGTAGATAGTCGTTTAAACCATCGCATATCAGGGACTCCATGAGTTTTGAAGGTAATGACAGAAGAGCCACCGGCCGATAACTTGAAGGTTCATTGCGTCGACCACCTTTGAAAATTGGTGTGATGTGAGCCAACTTCCAATTTTCGGGTAATTTGCCTCGGCTAAGCGAGTGTGAAAACATCACGCTAAGCGGCGTTGCCAGGATTGAGGCTGCCTCCCTCAGTATGGCAGGATGAACCATATCCGGGCCAGGAGAAGTGTCAAGTCTTAAGTGCTGCAGTTTCCGGAACACCAAGTCAGCGCTTAGGTCCACTTCAGAAAGTCCTGTGGAATTGCAGATGAAACTGTCGTCAATAAAGTTGATGTCAGCCGGTTGAAATGTTTGAGAGTAATGGGCCGCCAGAAGGTTAGCGGCGTCGCCATCGTTGTTGGTCGGGCCGTTAGGACCTAGCAGTTGAGAAACTCCTGTTTTGGCTTGACGAAGAGAGGCTGCGTAACGGAATAGGCTTCTAGGGTTAGAGGCGAATTTGTCCATAAGCTTTGTTTGGTACTGAAGCCTGTCTTCTCTTATAGCCTTCGTGCATATGTTCCTGATATGTTTATATTGCCTATACGCTCCATCGTTATTAGTTCGTTTGTATTCCGCCCAACAGTGTCTTTTGTGGCTGGGTGTTACCCCTTAGGTTATTATTCGAACTAAGCTTAAGTAGGTGTTTGAGAGGATGTCCAGAAGTGTTAAGGATGCTATAAGCCATCAGAAGATCAACTCTAAGACGCCTATACTCTAATGGGTAGAGGTCTAGTGAACGGAGGCGTTCTTCGTAAGGTTTAGATTTGAGTCCTCGAACTGATTTCGTGGCTCGCAGTAGGATACGCTCCAAAGTGACCTTGTCCTTTTGGAATGAGGGGGGAGTACTATGTTTCTGTACTCTAAATGGGGACGGATGAAACTATTGAAGATTGTATGGAAAGTTTGTCCGTCAAACTGTCCAAAAATTCGCTTCAACGTTACCAGTGCAAGGTTTGCTCGGAAAGCATTTTTGTCACAGTTAGCGTAAGACTTTAAATCATGGGGTATCAGGACTCCTAAATCTTTTTCGAATTGGAATCAAGAAACAAAACCATTAAGCTTGTGCTTTTTAATATTTTGCCACATTTATCGCCCACTGCACCAAAGTAATACGGTGAACGTATTGTGAAAACAGTCCGAAAATATCGTCCTCATGCACAAACTAGCGAATCCAGAGAGTTCGTAGGATACTGTTAATTTCGGTAGAAGAAAATCCGGCGAAACTATAATTTATAGACAAACCAATCAGACATAAGATAACAGGTCTTGGATTTCGGTGCGATATTCATTCATTCATTTGGTCAAATAGCGTTTTGTCATTTTAGCTGATGTCATTTCTAACCCCAACCATCAAATGAAAATCATAATTCTCATTCCTCATACTGGCTTGTAACCCTTATTTATTTTTAGTAGGTGTACATACTCAAGGTCACTTTAGAGTCGCCCAAAGGTCGTCCATAAAATATGGTCTCACCGAAGATTCATTCAGTCACCATTGGAATCAAGTTGGTGTCCCGAGCAGTCATAAAAGTCAAGTAATTATCGTACATAATATAGATGGTGTCATAGAACGGCAGAATTCATACTTCACGTACACTTCTTAAGGGATGTCAATGAAAACTATAGTTTCTGCCTGTACTCTTGAGACTTTCCAGAGAAAAGGTTCACCGCTTACAATGTGGAAGAAACCGGGATATTAGAGGTTAAGATGTTGCAAAGAAGTTATATCGTTGTACATGCTGGCTCACCCTGTTGTGCTTCCAAGAACACGTTTAGACTGGGCACGGAATGACATTTTAGATATAAAAAGCACGAGAGTACACGGAGAGACCACGCCTGAGTGACTAATCCATGCCGCCTGAATCAAATGTTTTCACCTCAATTACAGTCGAACTTACGTGTGTCCAGTGGATAATTCAATCTTCCCTGCTAGTGTACGTTTAGCTTCAATGTTTGCGTGGCTAGGAACCAGTGCTACTGCACTTCAACTTATGTACTTCACGATTTCGGTAAGTCACAAATGCAGAAGACATTTCCATTCACAGAGGTAATGAAATGATAATTAATCCCTTGAGGAAGCTTATTACAGAACTACTTATATGTTGAGAATACTGTTTCAGACAACTCAAATACTCAGCAGCTAAGTTTAATATTGCTTTTACACAGATAAGGATGATAATATTACTGAAATACAGGTGAGATGAAGCGTTGTGAAATATTCCATTATCGTAATTCTGGGACTTATGACATCCCGTTGAACGAACTCGTTGTTATAACAACCTTTTAAATTATATTGGGCTATTGCGATTGAAAAAAACTGTCAAGTAGCTCAAATTGTTTGACAGTCTTGATTTATGACAGTAGGCACGCGATAACCGACACTCAACCGTGAAAGATTTTTAATCTACAACAACCGAAAGTTCAGTATGGTAATACAGTTGTGTTAAGATACCAACAATAAATCCATGAACAGAACAAGTAAGCGGTCTACACAAAAGAGCAACTACGACACTTCTTATAGCATAGGTCTATAATTCAGCAGCCTAAAATAGTTTTACTAGCCACGTTGAACACACCATCAAACGAATGCAATTTGAAACGCTTATTAGCGTCAATATGATGTCAACTGAGTTTCCATAAAAGTTTAAAGAAGCCGGGCTCGTCATACTACGGCGATCATCAAAGTTTCGCAAGTTATCTGGACGCCGGAATTCTACAGAACAGTGAGAGAAGCAATCTCACATAGCTTTTACTCTTCAGATGCACCACAATCGAAATGTCTTGTAGCGTGGCGTCGGGTCGAAATTGACTATGAAAACCGCTACCAAAAAAAACACGAGCCAAGTAAATCAGAAGGCGAAGGTCGAACGTAACCAAATAGATCCATAAGATCCCCGAGAAGCCAAATATCAGAAGGCAGTTAA